CTCTTTGGTTTGCATTTATTAGAGTTGGCTTTTGGTTACTGTGTTTGCGTGGGAAGTTACAGAACACGAGGCCACAAAAATTCACATTCCATTCCAAATCCAATGCCTTTAGTTACAATATTATACTTCTAACACCCAACAAGTTTCCACATTCTTTTACGCCCACGCCCCCTTACTAACTTTTTTTTTATTTAAATATTATTTTACTCTATGTATTCTTAATTCTAGTTTATTTTGGCACAGGTAGACTAAAATAAATACCTGTAATTTGTTTTAGTCTCTAGATTTTCGAGTGATGAACTGTCTTTTCAACTTCTTTATCTGCAAACTTCAAAGAATTCATTCCGTTATTCTAGTTTTAGGGTTCAAAAAGCTCGTCGATCCAAATGAATCGTTCTTCTAGTCTCTCTTTTGTAATACTTGAAACAAGGTCTCTCATGGCCAATTTTTTATTACAGTGTTCATCTTTGTTAAGTCAAAGGATATCGAATAATCGATCGACCGGATGGTCAAGCTACCTACACCTATTTGGTTCGATCATTTAGCGGCTCTTTCTAAGAGAGCTAACAATGTTGGGGAGATTTCTCTTTCTCTAAAAGCTTTTTTTTTTTGTTGTTATACTTTTCAAAGTTACCATTTTGGTAGGAACCCTTTAATACACACGTCGGCTACATTTCAAGAAATTTTGGACTCGTTTGATAATGTTTACGTTTTTTGTTTCTAATTTCTAATTTTATTAAGAAACTAAGTATTTGACAACTATTTATATTTTTTGTTTCTATTTTTTTAGAAATATTCTCAAAATTATATAGAAATTTTAGAAACAACACAAACAAGTTTTATTATTTCTTGTTCCCCTTTTCAATTTGTTCCAAAACATAAACAAAGTTATAGTCTTATTCATTTTTGAATTCATGCGTGTTGGGATCATGCAATTCAAATTTTCTTCGTTAAAAATGAGAAAACGAAAAACAAGAAACGAAGACGTTATCAAACAGATCTTTTGTGAGTAGAATGTCGTGTTATATTTGTGATGGAAAGAAATGAGATAAAAATAAAAGTCAAGGGACCAAAATGGATGTTTTGAAAATATAGGGACTAAATTTAATTAAAGCAAAAAATACACAGATTAAAATAGTATTTAAATCTTTATTTTTTATTTTCTAATTTAAAAATTAACCTTGGAAACATTATTTTTATTTTTTTTATGTTATCTACTTTTTAAATTCTTTCAATTTCGAGGCCAACTTTTGAAAACTAAAAAATAAAAATAAAAGACATTGTTTTTTAAAATATAATTTGGCTAATTAAGTACTTGAATATATTTTTAAGAAAGTTGAAACACACCAAATAAATGACGATAAAACCATTCTAATTTTTAGAAACAAAAAATTAAAACCGAAATGATTATTAATCAGGATGTTGACTCTCCATTTTTGTTGGCCTCTCATGTTAGTATTAGGTTGAGTTAATATAACTTAAGAATTGACTCTTTTTTTTTAATCCAAACTGTGAATTTAGGTTTGGTTGGGTTACATTGAGTAATGAGTTATTTGTTTAATGAGAGTGAAACTGATCTCTATGTTTTTACGATTGATAACTTGATGTCTATACTGTGAAAAAAATGAATATTTGATCTTTAATCCAACATTTTTTTTTAAATTATACTCTAAAACTTTTTAAAAGTATATTCTAAAAGTTGATGGAAAAATTAAAATAACATAGTTGGAGACTTAAAAAAAATATATGGGCTTGTTCGGTTTAGTATAAACTAATTTTACTCCAACCACCAACTAACTTAGCTCATAAAATTTCAATTTGTTTGAATCAAATCCTTACCATTTATGTTGTATTAAGAAAAACCTTACCGTTGATTATTTGTTGAAAGCATCAAATCTTTTAAAATTTTCTCATATGAGTTATTTAATCTTCCAAAATGAAAAAATTTGAAAATTTATCAATAAAAATTGATGTGTTATTAAATTATTGTTTTACTAAAGTAACATGCCTAACTTTTCAATTAGTTAAGACATATTATCGGAGGTTCAAAGCTTCATCCTCACATATGTAGTTGAACTAAAGAAACGATATTTAGATATGCTACTAAAAATGAATTTTATTGACGAGTGCGTCAAATTTAATTAATGAGTGAGTTGGATTTCAGGTATCAAAATGATAATCTTTTGTTAACATATTTTAACAATTTTTCTTATCAATCCACCTCATTGATGTTTTTTAATACCTTACAAGTAAAATTGAAAATTTTATAAGATTAAAGACCAAATATATTGAGAATTACACAAAAGACTAGAGTTGGTTGAGTATATTTAGCATATTCTAAAATAACCTATGATAAATTCAAAGCTTTTGTAATCAATTCCTCCCCTCCCTTTGGTCTTAGGAGACCTGAGTCTATTGGTTTTTACTCTTTGTTTTGGCTTCCTTTCTAAGTCTCCTTTTTGCCCCTTAAAGTTGGTCAATAGAGGAGACTTCAACTTCAACAGACAGTGCATCAATTGGGAACTTTTTATTCTGATTACTACTATATATACACACACATTTTCCATTCCAACTTTACCCTTTTTTTTTCTTCTGTAAAAAATAATTCCCCATATATTTTTACCCTTCTCTTGTGCATTATATTTAAAGGAATGTTTGGCTTCACTTAGTCTGAATTTAATATACATTCATTATTTTTCTCCTCTAGTATTACAATTCAAACATAAGAGGAGGGGAGGGTGGAGATTTGATTCTATAACTAGCTTTAAGGGAGATTACTAATACTTTGATTAATTGAGTTATTCTATTATGGATACGAGCCTGCAAGTAGGGAGGAGATTCGAGATGGGTCAAAGTCAAAGGAAATAAGAGTAGAGAGACCTAGAAGCTCGATGGATGAACAACACCATAGAACACTGCCCGACGGGCCCAGCCAGGTCCTGGTCAACCAGATTTCAGCTCACAATCAACCTCCGAGTCCAACTTAAGTATCAAAGTAGGTGTGGCTAGTACCACACTGGTGTTCAATATTCTTTGTTTTGCGAGTCAACGTGGAGTCCCTATAATGCCATATTTGATTAATAGATTAAACCAAATTTACGCATCAACGACATCATTCATATAACATGTGATTATATACACACATATATACTTACATATTGGTATCAAGTGTTACAAAAGATTGATATTGGGTTGAGATGATTCACTTGCCATGTTGAGCATAATCAAACAATTAAGACATCATTAACCATCTCCCTCAAGAGTTTAAAGTTAGAATTCTCCCCCTCACATCAATATTATTAATTACCTTCTAAGAAAATAATGCACCACAAATGTAGCCGATGGCACTACATACCCACTATAATAAAAGACTACCAAAAGTGATTAATCAAATTGAAGCTTTATACCGAAAGAATTGATGCATTTGTGAATGAAATATATACCTTTTTTTTTTCTAATTACAAATTTACTAGGATTTACTTTCAAGTTATATTACGTTACTTGACTGTATTTAAGATTTTGAGTTCTCTAATTGAAATTAAGTTGAAATTTAGACAAGAAATTTGATAACTGAAACTGTTATTAATTATTATTGTTTTGTTGTAAATGAAGTGGAAGAAAAAGGGGTATTGATATAGGGAATGGGGATGGGAATTGTGAGAACAGAGCCTTGAGATGCGTTTTACATGTGAAGAAGTAGAGAAGAAAGAAGGGGGAGAAACACTAATAGAGAAAGTTTTTGGGAACATTTGAGGAATAAAGGGAAAAGAAAGGACTGGCAGTGTGAAAATAAAAAAAAAATTAAAAAAATTGAAAAAAGAAACATTGTCCTCGTAACTGAAACCGAATTTGTCGTGCTTCCACTCCCACCCAGAGCAACAGCAATAGCAAACTGAGACTGGTCCCACCACTCACGGGGAGATGTGAAATCAGCATTCAAGTGCTTTGTCATTGTTCTATTCTACCCTTCCTTTTCACCATAAACATTAACAAAACTTAAAAATTAAAAACACTATTCTTTTTACTTCTTGAAATTCCATCTTTTTTCTATCCTAATCTATTACTTACTTGGTGATATATATCCATGTGAATTCGATACCCCATTTCTACGTAATAACTAAAACACGCTTGTTTATAAGTTAAAATATTAAATTTTAAGTTTATAATTTGTTATTTCTTTTTTAATTGGACCTCAAAATGTTAGGTCCACGTGGAAATAACTAAATCTGAAGGTAGAAAGTATGAAAAATAGCACTTTTGTCTAAGCACCATTTCACATACAACTTATTTTCTTGTTACACTTGGAACATAGTACTCAGTACTCAGGTTCGAAGTAGGCTGATCCAGATTATCATTTTTTTTGCCTTTAGTGCTTGCAAAATGATAGTATGAACATCATATTTTTTTTTTAGCATAAATATTAAACTGGGGATTAAATTAACAATAGTTGAAAAAAATGCGACAAAAATCCCACCTAACTAGATAAGTGGAAATATAAGAGGCAAAATCATAGCTACTAAATAGACAAATATCATATCACTCTTAAATATCACTATTAAGCATGGAGTTGTTTTGAGCAATTAGTTTTGTTGGGTTAGTTATTTACAGTTGATTAGTTAGCAAGTGGATTAAACTAATCTATTGTATTCAAGTTAATTAACAGACTGAAAACTACCTATGAAGGCTATTTTTAAAATATATGAAAAACACTAAATCTAGACACAAAACAAAGGAGATCAATCAAAACAACATTTGAACTCATATAATCAAAAGACAAAACAAAAATTTAAACCTTTTTATCTTTTTGGTTAAAAATTAAGATTACAATCACAACAAAGTTAAAAGACAGACAAAGCATTCTTTTTGTTTGTTTAACCAGAAACAGAGAGAGAAAGAAGTCGGCCTGTCAAGTCGCTGTTCTTTTTATTTGTTTCCTCAGTGTTTTTAACGTTGAATCACATCATCTCACAATTCAAAGCTCTGTCTCTCTCTCTCTTCAATTCCCCTGTTTCCAAAATCCTCCCTCTGATCGGCTGACTTTCCTCTACATCACTGAATCTTCCCTTCTCTCTCTATTCCATTTCAAAAATCTCCTTTTCTTTCACTTTCTCTCTCTCCAAACAGCTCCCCCTTCCCCCTTCTCTCCCATGTGCTCCCTCTTTTGTTTTCCTTTGAGGAAAACTCTCGCAATAAATTAACTCCCACCTCCCATGGCTGCTGCTCTCCAACACCCCACCTAAGCCTTAGCCTTACTCCCATTCTTCTCTCTCTCTTTACACAGTGACCCAAACAGAGACATTCAGAGAGAAGAAATGACCAAAGAAGAGGATTTTAAGCTACTCCCATTTCAGGTTTTTCTCTTTTCCCCTTGCTCTCTAATACCCACTTTCCAGAATGTTTTGTTTTGTTTTCCCATGAAAAAAAAGTTGCCTTTTTTTAATTTGACTCCCATTTCTAAAGGAATCTTTGTGTGTGTGTGTGTGTGTTTTGGGTATTTGTTGTTTGCTTTGTTTTGTTTTTATAGACTTGTGTTCTCAGAGTGAACGTTCACTGTGATGGGTGTAGGCAGAAAGTGAAGAAACTTCTTCAGAGGATAGAAGGTTTGTTTTTTTGCCTTTCCCCTTCATTGCTTTCTCTTTTTTTCTTCTTTCTGCCCATCTCTTTCCATTCATGTCGTTTACTTTCTCTGTCAAACTTGTTTGGGTTCTGGGGTTTCGAGAGAAAATGGAAAGGGGAAATTGTATGATACCTGTTTAATTTCTTTATTTTTTTTTATCCTCAATGGAGAGTTCTGTCTAGAGCAAAACAGAGTACTCTTTCGAAATTGTCTGTTGTGGGATGAAGTTTAAGTTCCATCTTGTTGTTTGGTTGCTGGGAAAGTGAGAGAAAACAAGAAAGAAGTGGAATTAAGGGGCTGTTTGGTTTGGAAATTTTGTGATCTGGTTCCACATGGGGAGGAATTTGAGGATGAACAAAACAACCCTTGATGAGAAAATGTATGTTGGCTTAAACAGGGGTTTATCAAGTGGTTATAGATGCAGAGAATGAGAAAGTTACAGTTTTAGGAAGTGTGGATTCTGCAACTTTGATCAAGAAGCTGGTGAGAGCTGGAAAACATGCTGAGCTTTGGTCACAAAAACCGAATCCGAGCCCGAAACCGAAGAACAAAGACGATAAGCCTCCAAACAAGGGACCGAAACAGCCGAAACTCACCTCATTCAACTGTGAAGGAGATGACATTGATGACTGTTTTGGTGGGGAGGATGGAGGAGAGGGTTATGAAGCTCAGGAGTTTCAGTTCCTCAAGGAGAAAGCAGCACGTCTCGGTCTCCTAAGGCAGCAAGCGATCGAAGCAAACAACGCCAAGAAAGGCGCTGTCGGGATTGGCCAAATTCCCGGGCCTGCCTCGGGAAATGGCAAGATGAACAACAACATCATCAACAAATCTGGGAATGGGAAGAAACTAGATCCAAATCAGCTAATGGGCATAAAAAGCCCCCAATCTGGAATTGATCCAAAGGCCATGGCAGCAGCCCTGAGGATGAACAATCCTCCACACTTCGGCAACGGCAATGATGGCGGTAGCGGAGTCGGAGGAAGTCTCAATCTCGGGGAAGCGAAAAGAGGGAACAACAGCAGCAACAACAACAATGACCTGAATTCGATGATGAACATGGCGGGATTCAACAACGGCGCAAACCTATTAAACTTTGCCACTCCGTCCTCCATTGGTGTCAATTCAAGAAGCCCATCTCAAGGATTTCACCTTCAACAATCCAGTGGCTATGGCTATGGATACCAGCCATCTTCAAGCTCAGGCTTCCCCATGGCTTCTACAGGCCAATATCATCAACAACCAACCTCCAATTCCATTAATGGCTACAACCAAAACCAAAACCAGTATCATCATCAGCAGCCATTGATGAACATGATAAACAGGCAGGGAATGAACCAGCAGCCCCAAATGATGTACAACAGGGCCCAATTGATTCCCCCAAATACAGGGTATTACTACAATTACAATGCTAGCCCTGTCCAGGCAAACTATCCCTATGGCTATGGTGAGGCAGTGTATCAGCAGTATGGGCATGGGTACAATAGTAATAACTCTGCAGCTGATATGTTCAGTGATGAGAACACAAGCAGCAGCTGCTCGATCATGTAAGAAGAAAATAGGACAAAGATTATTGTCTGTGTTCATGTTAATGTTTTTTGTTGGGGCTGTGATGTGGGGCTGTGGGGTGTTGAGTTTTTTTTTTTTGTGTTGGGGATCTCTCTCTTTCTCTCTCTCTTGTTCAGTGTATTTTGTGGATTGTTTGTTAATTCTAAAGACGTGGTGATCTTTGTGAAATTTGAGGATGTTTTGTCTGTTTTGTTTTTTGAAACTTGCTTTGATGTCTTGGCGTGGGGGACTTGTGAAGGAAGGATAAATATTTGGGAGGGGTACTGGTTGAGTTTAACAGGTGTGTGTGTGTGTTTTTTTCCTTTTTGTGTATAACTCATTAGGATTTAATTTTTTTTTTAGCCTATTCGAGAAGTATAACGTAGATAAAACATTTATTATCATCTTAAATATCCGTAGATAGAATAAATATTACCATCCCAAAAATTGGTATTTTATTTTCACTCCCACGAAAATTAAAAAGAAAAATAAGGTTATAGATCTCTTTTAATAGTTAGACATTCGAATTTCTCGTCCTCTATTATTCAAACTCAACTCAAATAAAATGATGGGATGTATGATCACAAATCTCCTAAAAACCAAACATTTGGTCGAAGGTTTAATTCATCTAGCTCTTCCATAGAGAATGAATCTTTCTCTAGTGCGTTAATTCGTTAATTACTCTAAAGTTTAAATTGACATAAATTTAAACTAACGAGCATTAAAGTACAATAACTAAATCATTATTTTTTAAAGTTTATGGACTAAATCGTTACTTGGTTACTTGAGTAATTGTATGGATATTTTGACTAGAAATAAAAAGATAGAGCGCAAATGTACACCTATTATCGACTCTCAGGGACTAAAATCGTCCTTTTGATAAAGATGTTAATAATTAGAGAGTTTGTAATTGATTTTAAGGTGACAAATTAATAAAGTGATTGTTGGTTTATTTGTTTTGAAACTTAATGACATAAAACCCAATCCTAAGTTATTCCAATTAGTTAGAAAATATTGGGACTAGTTCAGGATGCTCGGCATCTCCCTTCTTATTTAAGGGTTACGCTTCTTAATCCGCTTATATCTAAGTGATCTTGAAGTTTCCAAGTTATTCCTAATATATCTATTAGGAAATCTCTTAGTTTTGGCTTAAAAATAATCACAACCTTGGGTTAAGGTCTTATATCTAGGCTATTTGAATATGGAACCTTTATATCTAAAGTCTTCATCTCTTGGGTTTAATTCTTAAGGTGTAAAAACTTGTCAACATTCTCAGTATCGACTAGGTTAATTCAAATCTTAACTGGTCGAATTAAACTTAAAACTTGATAGAAAACAACTTAGGTGATGAAAAAGTGAAAAAACACTCTTTTTACCCTTGTTGTCCTGTTTTAAAGATTTAATTAATCGTCCATAATTGGGCTAGGAAAAAGTAATTACTTTTAAAGGAAAAATAGAATGAAGAGTTTGGGAAAAAGGTAAACATGATTTAAAATCAATTTGTTAAAAGCAAAGCTAGAAGTTTGCCATCCGAATGAACCTTACCCTTTCTCTCTCGAGCTTCCGGAGTAAGAATTCGTTATATTTCATAAATATATGTGATTACATAGATCTCTTAGTTCAAGAATGAAAATAATGAGATAATGTTGAAATTTTATAAACTTTGGTTGCAAAAAGTACACGGAATAAGAATTAAGCTGGAAATTCGCTTACAAGTAAGGAAAATGACTATGAACTTAAAACTATAGAATCCGAGCCTATGCTAGAAAATAACTCTAAAGAAATTTGTAAAGTGATTAAGGAAAGAATGAAACTTGATGAAGCAAATTGAATTTATTGGAAACTCTAAGTTTGTTGAACGGTTGAGAAATTCGTGCTCTACCATTGTTTCCCAATGACTGATCTAGTCGTTGAATAGGCTCTTCTCTTGCATGAAAAACAAGTCTATGTGTAGTTTACTCAATAAAAAATTAGTTTTTTTTTGTTATCTCTTTACATGTTAAAACTTAGTTTATGCATTTCAAACATTTTGCACGAACATATCTTCAATTGGGCACAAAAACAAGTTAAAATATACTAGCTTTATACAAAATAAAGTGGGCGATTATAATTTAATCTCTTTTTATCCTTGGTGTAATAAGTGATCGTACATGGTTGGTCTAAATGTGCTTTTAACCTTTTTAAATAATTTTTATGTCCTATGTCCTATGTCATTTCTCTTAAGAATTTTTTTTTGGAAAGGTATATATGTAGATGATTTACGTATTATATTAATATCGATGAAGACATGAGAATTACTAATTCTTAAGATATGTGACCATCACACGATTTGAATCAGTTTTATTAAGAATGATGAAATAATAGCCCTTCATAAAATTATGAAAATTTTATTAAGGACCTAAATCTTATTTGGTCCAACAGCTCTCAAATTTCTATTTTAATCCTAAAAGATTTAAAAAATTTTAATTTTAAAATTTGCCTCACCCAATGCTCACTCCAACTAGACTGTATGACTTTAATATATATTCATGTAAGAACTTTAGTCAAAGCATCCATCTATTAGATCGACATAGAAATAATAACTATGACCAAAATAATTATTTTCTAAAAATTTAAAGATTATATTTTAAGTCTTGAATAACAAAAATAAAACAAAATTGAAAGTCAATGAGATTTTCTTAATGGGTAACATAATTTTCTAAAGCATTATTTACTGTAAATAAATAAATAAATATATATATATATATATTGCAACTTGTGAAGTGAGAGTGATCTTGAGGTTGAAACTACGCAAGCGTGGTTAAGGAATAGTTAAAATATTTGATAGTTATTATTTATTTCAACAAAATTCACTTTTTTTAGGTGATTCAATCACACAAATTCTAAAGTTAAGTGGGGATTATATTTATTCTTTACCGTTAAATTAAAAAAAAAGATAATATCTTTAGAGGGCTATTTTAGAAACTTATTTACACAAATGTCTAAAATTTTCTAATTTTACATTTTGCAGGTAGGATTTTAATTTAATTCTGATTTTACCTACATTTATTATAGTTATTTGTTTTTTTTAAACTATAAAAGATCTAATTCCATAAATTATTATCATAATCCTTTAATTATTTTAGGTCCCATCAAAATTTTCAACATTAATCCCTTAATTCACCCATTCAAAACCTTAATTCAAAAGGATTGATTATCTTGATTTACCAATATTATTAATTACAAAAATATCCAACTTCCATCGTTAGCAACTCACCCTTCAACTACAACCCTTAGATATAACCGGATTGGTAGCAACTAACTCTCAAACTACAACCTCGGATATAAACTAAATTACATATAAACTTCCTAAAATCATGGTTACCAACTCACTCTCCAACTACAACCTCGGATGTATCCGGATTTTTGAGGGCTTCTAAAATAAAATAACTATTAGCAACACACTCTCCAACTACAACCCTTGGATATATCCATCCGAATATAAACTAAATTCCATATAAACTTCCTTATATCCCCGTTCATACAATAGTTCACACAAAATCAGAAATCGAAAATAACCGTTGGAGACTACTTGGGCATGGAAGGAACATCGAAAGGGTTTAACAGTACCAAAAAAAAAGAAAAGAACAACAGAGTTTTCAACATTGTACAAACTGAATGAGAAAAATATTAGGATATATTGGAATGCAAACCTTTTCATCGAGATAAACGAAGACGAACTGCTCCGGCAATGTAGAGGAATTAGAGACGAAGGAGCGGACGAAAACCACGAGTTTTTGAACAAGAATACATAGATAACGGCATGATAAGAAGAACAGATACGGCGATCGGAGAAGGAGGCACCCAGACGGCGGTAGACGGTCGGTCGGGGATAGAAACCACAGGAAGCGTAAGAGTCGGAGGAAGGAGTTTCAAATTTTCCGAAAATGGATGATTTTGGAGATTTTTGTGGTTTTAGTATTTTTTTTTTTACTTTGGAGGTATAATTAAGCAAATTTTAACGAATTTAAATTGTAACCACCCAATTTATCAATTTGTAATGACAAAAGCGTAAATTCTATATATTTCAATCATTCTATAATTATGATTTCCATGAATTTACTAATAAAAAAATCAAATAAGAAGCCTTTTTCTAGCCCAATTTGTGACCCCATTTCCTTGGGCCGTCAGATTGGGCCCATATACGGCCCAAATAGCATTTTTTCTGGATAAGATTTTTTCTAATTTCTAAGCACTCTCCCTTCCAAACAAAGATGGCTTTGATCGGGTCAGAAAACCGGCGGGATTTTCATATGATACCACCACCAAAAATGTCCCTTCATCTCAGTAATCCAATTCAACTCCAAATATTCCCCCGCCGGAATGGATTCAGGGCCAAGTCTCAGCCATCGGCGGCGACGTCGAGCGTCTCCTGCTCCGCCATTAATCGCTATTCCGCCGGAGTGAGTTCGCCTCTCTAATTTTCCTTCCTCAAATGGTAAATAATTTCCTCTGTAGTGCACTAAGTCGTTTGCGATTCGTGTCTGGAACTGAATGCGCAGTGTAAAAGGCAGTATACAAGTGTGATGATAGTACCGACGGGCGTAGGCGCCGCCATTGGTGGATATGCGGGTGATGCTCTGCCAGTTGCTCGCGCTCTCGCCTCCGTCGTCGACTGCCTTATCGCTCACCCTAACGTAATTCTTCTTCACCTTGCCTTGATTCCTTACGAAATTAAGTTTTGAATTCTTGTTTTACTTATTGTAAGAAATTGTGGCATTTATAGAGGAAAAACACATACATAGGAAATGCTTTTAATTTCTAGTTTCTTCTACTAGAGTAATCTCTCTCTCTCTCTCTCTCTCTCTCTCTCTTTGTTTTTTTCCTAAACATAGAAATTGAATTGATAATCGATATATTAATTGATAATCAGTATGAACAATTTTAATATATTTTCTTTGCAAAGTAAATCATGTAATAAGTTCGATTTTTCTTATATTACTGATAAATAGTATTAATTATATACTTTTAGTTGTGGTCAGTGAAGATAATATTACAAGAAGTTATATAACTACATTAATATTTCTGCTGGAATATTTTTATTTGATTATATTTTGTAAAATTTGTATTCTTTTTCTTAATAAAAAAGTGTCAAAGATAGATGTATAGTTTAATTTCAAATGAAATATTCACTAAGTACTGGAATATTTCTTTATCGTGTTTGATGGTTCATATTTTAAAAGATTAGTTCATTGCTGGAAAAAGATTTTTCTCCCTTTAGTCTCTTCACGGTTTTACAGGTTTGATTAATAAAATAACTTCTTCCTTTTAAATTTTAATAATTAATTAACATACATTTAGAGTATAATATATCAATTATTTGTTCATTGTTAATTTTTTTTGGGGAAAATAACTGGTATTATACACTTAATACTTTCAATGCGTGTTCAAACGCATAATCAATAACAAAATATCCAATAATAGATCAAGTTTAATTAATAAAAGAATCTTTGTGGTAAAAATACGTTAAACATCTTGCACCGTGTTCTTTTTTATAGGGCAGGAGCCAAAACAAGAACAATCCCATAATATTTATAACTGCTATCCAATTTTTTTAACATGCTTTTGTAGCATATATCAATTTGCTGATTTCAAGATAAAATATATGTTTAACTTTAACCTAAAATGGAAAAAATGATTAAACTAATTTAATTCTATATTCTTTTCATGAAGAAATGAATAATTTCATCAAACATTAAAGGATAGTGGACTTATTCATCCAAGGTTTAAATCCTCCTTCCCCTCACTTATACCTGTGTGGCTATGTATAAAAAGGTTATTTTTATTTGAAGCAAGAATGTTATTTTATTTGACTCGAGGAATTTCCTTTAGATACTTAATGCAGCAATGCTTTACTGGCCAATGCACAATGTGCTTTATGTTGAAGGCTATGCACTCGATCGGTTTGCAGAAGGTTTATGGGCACTAAAACCTGTTCACCAGAATCGGGTATGCTACTCATGTGCTTATCTTCTTTGAACTATATGTCATATGTTGTACTTTGCAAAGTCTTATGGTGTGCATCAGTGCCTTCCCTGCGACATGGAGACGTATTTGTATGCTTATAAGAGTTGAATGAATCAGATAGGATTGGTTCTTGATGCTGGAATTGAGGAAGAGCTTCGAATTCGTCACTTGCAAGTGGCTGATGCTGCTAGAGCTTCTCTTGGATTGCCTGTGATGGAGTATGTTGTCACAGAGACACCTTTAGTGGTATCATCTTCTTACTCACGTGAGATATCTGATTTAACTTTGGGTTACTCACGCCCACTGAGTAATTAAAGCCAAATATAATCAAGAATTGAATTAGAATACATGTAGTCCGAATATCTTTACCTCTTAGTTCTGATCTCGAGGAATACTAAACAGCTGATAGTTCTGCTTTCAAAATTGAGATAATTTCTGTGTACCTCAGCTGGAAGATTTTCAAATTTTTATGTATGATTGTAAGAACTTGAGATGGCTTGTTTGACAGGTAGAGAAATGGATTGATCCAAAAACTGGGAAATCAACTGGGCGGATTCGACACCCTGCTTCACTACTGAGCGCTGTGCAGACATTAATAAACCGGTCAAAGGTGAATGCTGTTGCTGTTGTTGGACGATTCCCAGATGATGACGTTGAAGAGACAGATAATTATCGACAAGGGATGGTATGAAAATTCCTTGATAGCTCCATGCTTATTATACTTGGATGTAGCCTTTATTAATTAGACCATAAGTGGCAAATAATCCGGGTCATACCGGTTTCTCTGCTTGTACTGGCGAACTTTTGTGAGCTATTGAGGGTACTCTCGGTGTATCTCTGTATGAGTTAGACCATAAATGTTGACGCATACAGTGGTTTGCTGCACTCTCTGAAGTTGTAGTTAGAACTCGTATTATTTCAAAAGGTAAGCCTTCCAGTTAGATTTTTTGTCAAGATTGATTTGAGTTGAGAAAACTTTATATATGTATGATATTAAAAATTTTATGAGTCGGTTAACTATTGTCTCTGTATGATTTGATTGGATCAGACAATTTTTCGACATTTCTATAGCCAAGGTTTTAAGAACTTAAGTTATGCTAATAGGCAAAAGGAATCCTTAGTTACAAATTCTCTTCATTGCCTAATTACTTGTATCTGATATTTTGCAATCTGTCGTTTGAAGGGAGTTGATGCTTTGGCAGGGGTTGAGGCTGTAATTAGCCATCTTGTGGTGAAGGAGTTCCAGGTTCCATGTGCTCATGCTCCTGCTTTGTCACCTACTCCCTTATGCAAATCTCTATCTCCAAAATCAGCAGCTGAGGAGGTTAGTAATACTCTGGACTTCTCCTCCAGATTACTGTTGTACTGGATTTTAATTTATTGGGAAAACGTCTTTTTTTCTGATAATAAAAGAAGCTGTTAGTCAAAGACAGTGATGAACTTGCTAATTTCTTTAATTGTGTAATAAAGAACTCAATTCTGAAACTCTTAGAACAATGATCTTTCTGGTGGGCGACAATTTTGAACTTGCTACTTTCTGGTTGGTGACACTTTACTTGCTAGTTCAAAGAGCTTAGTACTAAGATATCGCCACGAGATTGTGACATGGCTTTGAGAATGACAATTTTTCTTCTTACAAGTACTCAACAATACTTTGGTGGACGAACAAACAAGGGACGATCATTTAGTGCATAGTTCTCTCCAATACGTCAGAAATACCAATGGTTTGTAGGATACGTTTGAGAAAAAGAAAAAACAAGAAAAGCTGCAGCATGAACTGGGATGCTTAAGGTGTATTTTGGGAGTATTTCTTTTTAGCAAAAGTTAAATATTCTTTCTTTTTTTCTTCCTGAGAAATGCTTAATAACAAAATCATTTAGATGTTTGGTTCTATATTCTTCCACGAGCTGTAAAAGCACTCTCTGGGTAAGCGACAAAAACACTTCACTACAATTTTAGCCAATATCAATTCTGAATATAGCTTTATTGTCTTTGGGATTTTATGTTCTTTATTGGTAAATGTCTTTGTTCTCTTTCTCTCTCTCATTTTCCCAAGGCCTCAATCCTGTGTTACAGTTAGGATACACATTCTTACCATGTGTACTTTCTGGGCTAAGTAATGCGCCTCAATACTTGAGCAAGAGTGCTGAATCATTGTGGAAGGACTGCATATTGGCAAATGATGTTGATAGTGTCATTCTACCGATAGATGCTTGTGGAGGCGATGGCGCTCTTGCTTTTGCCAGAAGCAACCAATATAAGGTATTAAATTTTTAAACATAATCTTAAACTAGTAGATGGATCTGGTACGGCTATTGGTTTTCTATAAACAAAATATAACCAGTGACTACTTCCTCGAGATTAACTAATTAACATTAACTTTGTCACAGCCACTTATTATTGCGGTTGAGGAAAATGAAACAGTTCTCAGCGATACTCCGGACTCACTTGGCATTGATGTGGTACGCATTGTAAAACTTCTGTGACTTCTTTTTTCCTTCCTTCTCATGTTTCTGGTTGTTGCAGAAGAAACTGCAATTGAAAAGAAATAATCTTGCAAGTTACAAGTCAGTAAAGTTCTAGTGATCTTGTATTCCTTCCCCTCTAAACCGGCCAAAGTTTAAATTGAAGAAAGAAAGCAAATGGGGTAAAGAACCCAAAAGGATATATCCTTTAAACCCAAAACAAGCTCTAACGATCTTCCTTCTCTGGTATTTGGTCACTATAGTGTTTGGTGATTAACCTAACTCTCCCACAGAATTGGTCTGTAACTCATGGACTAAATGAAAATCTTACAAACTCTGATGACTGATGAGAATATGGGGTAAAAAAGAAGAGAAAAACCCAGAGTGTGAGTTTTTTTCCATTTTACATTAACAAAAAGAGACAATCGCAATTCGTATAAACTACATATTTAATCATCCTAATTCCTAATGGTAGTTAAGATTCAAAAGTTACAGAAAGATATTCGTCACTGAGAGTAATGAAGCATCTTGTGCAGGTAAAAGTCTCAAATTATTGGGAAGCCATAGGTGTTATAGCAGCTCACAAGGCAGGAATTGATCCCTATTCCCTACGAAGAAATGGAATCAACAACACCAAGTGCCTTTCCACTACGGCTCCTAATGGTTACCCTATTTCAAGTGCCCCTCAACGATTCAATTGAGGTATATGATAATGATACTTGTGCAGCATGATTATAATGTTATTTCATCCAACCCAAAAGTTATCATTCGAGTATTTGAGCTAGCTTACGTAATTGACTGACCCTACAATATTTAGTTGTCAAAAAATTTCTAGAATTTCATCTTTGGCAATGTCTCAAAAACTCCTGTACTTTTTTCACGGGTCTTAATACCACTAGACATATTGGTTTCAACTCAGCCAAAAAGTTGGCATTCAGGAAAAATTATCTTTATGTTGCTAGTATCTTACAAATTTCAAATCATCACTCATGGGATTTGTTATATAATAATATGTCTACTTTGATTTGTGATGTGCTAATATAGGCTATAGCTAAAGTCGAAATGTCGTTTTGTAAGCTTGGATTTTGAACTTGACCAGAATATGAACGTTGCTCTCTGCAGGATACATTAAAGTCACCAACAAAGCTTGGTTATTTTTTGTAGCTATCTTACAGAAATCAAAGTTTATTGCTTGGAAGCATGTGTTTGACTCCTTCTCGCCAGGTAGACTTTATTTGGTTAAATTATATTTTGGCCTTTGTACCTTACCTTTCATGTTAGGTTGCCTTTGTACTTCTGGAAGTTTTGTTTTAATCCCGGGTATAAATCCCAATGTTAATAAGAAATTAATATTTCTTGGCCAACGATACAAAGTATTATAGTTAAAAACAGACAAAATGTCAAAGTAACAATGAAATATATAATTTAAGATTTGATGAAAGCTACATTTCTTGGTAAATACTTGTTAAGGCTTGTGTGTTTGGGAGTTTGATGGACAGAGACAACTGTGTTTACTGTAATATTTTATAAGATAAATATTCTTCTGAATTCATAGTTTAAAGTTTGTTCAATTATCATATTCCATCAGCAAGCAAATTGTGTTCCATTATTTATCATATTAGACAGTGTCAAAGTCAATCGAATTTGGATTGGCCATTGTTGTAGCCTATCTGAATCATTACCTTCCTGGCTTCCCAAATCAAAAGTATGTTTTTTATGCTTAATTTAAAAAGTAATAAACAATTTTGAAGAAACAAATAAAAGCTTCCCCCTTGGAAGTTGAAATTCTGATTGCTTTTGCAAGAGAAGGGGAAACCACCTTTTAGCGTAGGTGAACATGAGCAACGAAGTCGTCGGCGACGGCCGGCGGCGAGCCACAGCGCTGCAATTTCTTGACCTGGTACGTGACTTTGTTCTGATGTCAGGGAGGCCCATCGCCGGCGCCGGAGACGTGATGCAAAAGGACTGCACCGATCTCATCCGTCGGATCGCGCTCCTGATTCATCTGGCGGAGGAGATCATGAACTTCCGCCGCGGCGGCGACAATTTGGCGGAATTGAATGAGTCTGGTTCTTCTTCTTCTTGTTCTCTGGATTGCCTTTCGGAAGTGGTCGGAGCCATTCAGGCGGCGAAGCGCCTTCTCTACGCCGCTTTGACTTTCTCTGGAAACGACGACGCTTCTGCGGCTTCGACTGTGAGTTCATCATCCTCACTGTTCTTTCATTTTTATTTTGTTTGTGGTTAAATTCTAATTGTTTTTTGTGTTCTGATTGGAAAATTTACAAGCTGGAAGTGGAAATTCCATTCATATATGTAATAAGTGTTCATGCTGAGTTTATGATTTTCGGTGCAGTTTTGGCAAATTTTCTCGGCTGCCAAACGGTTCTGTTTGCTTTAGATTTTACGACAAATTTATTTCTACGTGCTGGCTGCTTCCTCCTTTGTTTTTCTCTTTCTTTCTTTTGCAGTTTTGTGTTCAATAAAAATAATACATAAATAATTAGGTTATCTCAATCCTATGATGTTAGATATTCTTATCTTACACTTTTGAAATTATTTTGGTGGTGTCACATTCGTGATACTGAACCAGGTCAATGAATCAATTCCGTTCTTTTTTCTTTTTTCTTTTTTTTTATGTTTTGTTCAATTTCGAACCAAATATGTTCGATTGATATTATTTTTAAAATGATTTATTCATTATATAATATATATATTGATTATTGTTTTATATATCGATTATGTATTAATATTTATTTACTGCTTTTATCATTTACCTATGTTTCATTAGGTGATATTTTTTAGTCAATTGATTTTTAATGAAGTAACTTTGGTGGTATTAATCTATATTTTTTAAAAAAAAAAAATTATTAAGGGTTTAAGTTTGGAATGATTTTGGGAGAGTTTTTCAATTTTTTTAATAAGTGTTGATTAAATATATATATTTTTTAAAGGGAAAAGTTCAAATTTTGCTCTTACTTAGTGAGTTAATTTTAACCTTAAACTTTTTAGTTCTATCAATTTAAACTCTAAATTTAGTATCATACAAAAGTAAAAAAAAAAAAAAATTTAAGTAACTCTCAAACTCAACCACAAAAATACTTGAACTTAACCACAAAATTGAGTAAATAAAAAATGCTTAAATTTAGTAAAAGAATGTTCAAATCCAACTAATAATAGTATGTAACACAATTAGAAGAATCAATACGTACAAAAATTGTCGCATCATGGTCTATAACTGCTATAAATCTTCACAAAGAAAAAGAAAATAGAACTTAACTAATTTTGGGGTATTAATTACATAATTTATTCAAGTTCAGGGGTGGAAATTAAAAGTTTAAAGTTGAAATTGCCTCCCCACCTAATTGGAGTAAAACTTAAAATTTTATCTTCTATAGGAATATTTTATAATTTTTTTTAGAATCTTTATTTTTTTTTTTTGACTATATAACTGAATAGCATGAAATATTTGCGCAGTGGTTTCAGTTAACCAATAGCTAAAATTGTGATGGAATCTATATCCTATGTTGATTTTTCACTGATAAAATAAGATAAGTAAATAAAATAAATAAATCATTTAAAAACGTAAATGACTATTTTGATTTTCAATATATAAATGTACGATTTTATTTTAGAAAGATCAAAAATAGTTTTTAACATTATTTCCAAACCCCTAAAATCATTGTAGAAACATTTTAGCCAATTATATATTTTTTTTGTTATATATTTTACATTTAAATGAGAGTAAAATCTCAATGAATATTTTATTTATAAAAATAAAAATTCTAAAATTTCTTATTCTAGTGCTTTATGAGTATTATCCAATACTCTTAAATTTATTCTTATACCATGGCTTCAGGTAAAAACTAAAATACTATTGAAACAAAAATAATTACTTCACACCTCATAAATAGGTTTAAATTCTTATTATTAATATTTTAAAACATTATATTTACAATATAAATTTAAAAAAAACGTTTAACTCTTAATATCAATCTAAAACTCAATTTATGAAAATATTGATACATTAATAAATGATTTGGAAAAAAGAAATTGGACACTGAAATTTCTTTGATGTTGTTAATTTGGAAGGATGGAGCTACCAAAAAATTGGTTTACCAATTTCAGTATGTGACAAACAGATTGCAAAATGCACTTGCAAATTTGCCATACGACCACTTTTGCATCTCAGATGAAGTTCAGGAACAGGTAAAACCAAAACTCAGGTGACCCGAATCTCGAGAAGTTTATTCTTTTTCTAAGTTTAACATGTGAGAGTGGAGATGGAGATTCGAATCTTTAACATTTTGGTTGAGGATTAATGTTTCCTTTAGTTGAGCTCTATGTTCAGATGGATGACTCAAGAAGTTTATGATACTAAAAACTATGGTGTGGTAAAATCCATTGGTAATTAATATGAGCGAGGAATAATAGCATTAGTAGAGAGGTTGAGAAAGTAGACAATTTTTACCTTGTTTGATGACCATTTTATTTTTTGTTTTCTACTTTTTTTTTTTTAATTTAGCTGATAAATACTACTTTCATCCATGTATTTCATTTGTTTGGATGTTATATACATTTTAAAAATGTTTTCAAAATTCACACAAAAAAAATGAAAACTAAAAGAAAAAATAAATTTTAAAACTTTTTTTTTTTGCTATAAAAAAATAGTTTTAAAAAACATTGAAAAATATACAAATTTTTTAGAAGGAAAGCATAATTTTTAAAAAAATAGAAAACCAAAAACTAAATTACTATTTTCTTAAGCTTATTAAACTATTTTTATTCATGTATTTATTTTATCTATCTCTTAAAAAGATTTTAAAAATCTAAGTCAAAATTTGTATTTTCTTTTAAATTTTGTTAAGGATTTAATTGTGTTTAAAACAAAGGAAAAAAGTACTAAAACTTGAGAGGAAGTCAACTTAATCCTTAAAAATTGAAAAATCTTTATCAAATTGCAGCAGTAATAAACCATCATGGATGACTAGTGGTCAATAAAGACCCTTGTAAATAGAAAAGGATTTAAAAGGAATGAGTTCAAAACATGGTGGCTACCTATCTAGGATTTAATATCCTATGAATTATCTTGTCAGTCAAATGTAGTAAAAATTGTAGCAGTAATAGTTGTCCCTAATTCAAGTTGATTATATTTCGTGGGAAAACTTTTTGCTTCCTAAGCTTTACTTTTGCATTTTCATTTTGTGGGTACAGGTTGATTTGGTTAGAGCTCAGTTGAGGAGAGCAGAAAAGAAGTATGAGTCCATGTCTGAACTTGCAAACAAGAAGCTTCATTCTCAAGGCTCTGTAAAATGGAAGGTCAACAATGATGTTACGAGCATGTCTAGTGTTGATTATGAAGTTCCCGAGTCGCAGCATCGTCCCCAGAACCGTGACTATCAGGTCGGTTTCGATCCGGAGGAGCCGAAGGCCTCGGATTTGTGTATGGATGAGTGTTCAAGTGTTGTTCAATCTGATATGGAAGATGTTCAAGCCACCAAGAGCCAGGAGGAGGTTGAGAAGTCTGATGAAATTATGATTCCTGAGAACTTCTTGTGCCCCATCTCCTTTGAATTGATGGTAGATCCCGTCATCATCTCGACAGGACAGGTACGATCGTCATCAATCCGATTATGTTATTTTCTTTCTATGTGTTACTTTAACTTATCATATTAAATTTTTGAGTTTAGTAATGATTTAATCCTACGAGAAGACGTGGAAGAAAAAGAAAACTACTTTTCAAGTTCATTATTAAAAAATGTTAATGGAATATTTTTTGACTAAATTACGATCCCGAACGGCCTGAACGGGGCTGAATTGACTATAGTTATGATCCATTTATAGACCTATGAGAGATCCAATATACAGAGGTGGATAGACAAAGGGAACAAAACTTGTCCAAAAACTCAGGAGCAGCTCCAAGCTTTGATCCTCACTCCAAATTTTCTCATGAAACAACTGATCTCTGAATGGTGCCAAGAACACAATGTCAAGCTAGAGGAAGGATTAACCACCAGAAAAATCAAGAAGTACAGATCATTCGAAGATGGTTCTCGAAAGAGGGTACCCGTCAAAACTCTAGTTCGACACCTCTCTTTCGGGTCGGCTCATGAGAAAAAGGCAGCAGTGACAGAGATCCGAAAACTAACGAAAAGTAGCTCAGAACATAGAGTTGAAATAGCAGAGGCAGGAGCAATCCCACAGCTGGTTAACCTTTTAACTTCAGAAGATGTTCTAACACAAGAGAATGCAATTTCTTGCATTTTGAATCTTTCACTTCATGAGCAGAACAAGAGACTTGTTATGCTTTCTGGTGCAGTTTCCTACATTTCCCAAGTCCTAAAATTTGGGAGCTTGGAAGCGAGAGAGTGTGCTGCTGCGACGCTTTACAGCTTGTCGTTAGCCGACGAGAACAAGGCGGTCATCGGGGCTTCGGGCGTGATCCCGGGCCTGTTGGAAATTCTCGAGATCGGGAGTGCAAGAGGGAAGAAAGATGCAGCAAGGGCCCTGTTGAATTTGTGTATGTACCAAGGGAACAAAAGCAGGGCTGTGAAGGCTGGCATAGTCAGACCATTGTTGAAATTGCTCTCAGATTCAGATGCCTCCATGGTTGATGAAGCGCTGTATATAATGTCGGTTCTTTGCGTCCATCCGGAGGCGAAGGCAGCAATGGCGAATGCGAATTCGCTTCTCGTTCTGACCGAGGTTCTGAAGACGGGGGCGTCTCGGAGCAAGGAAAATGCAGCTGCAGTTATGTTTGTATTGTGCAAGGGAGATTTGGAGAAGCTTTCATGGTTAACCAAGCTTGGCGCAACGATACCGTTGATGATACTCGCCGAGAACGGCACGGGGAGAGCGAGGCGGAAGGCTACTTCATTGTTGGAGGAACTCAGAAGATCATGAGCAAGATTCAAGCCAGTTTTTAGTGTGATTGAGAGCCTCACTTTCAATGGCCCTTTTTTGTTTCTGGCATGTTGGGGAGCTTCTGTTTGGATCAATTTTAGCAGATTGTGAATATTTTTCAATTCTCTTGATTTTCTTTTCTTCAGTTCCTCTCAAGTTTTCTAGAAGCAAATTAAAACTTAAAACTAAATTGTGTAATCTTGTTAATTATATAGTTTGATAACTATTTTCAGGGCTCCAAACCTGGAACTAAGTTTGTATTGAACTAGTGATCACTTAGTTTATGTTCTAAAAAGCTTCGTGTAAACGAGAAAAAGAGAGTTTGAATCAAGGTGAATATTAGTAAGAAAAAATTAGGTTCAAATGACTATACAACGATGTATCCAATGGTTATGAGTGTGACAATCATGATTATGATCCTTTTTATTTATTTATAGACTATGATATTGTCTAAATTTCTTATATAATAAGAGAGATCGAACTCATAGACTACATATTATGGACTTGATATTATCCATACTTTTGACGTAGGTAGTATTGAGACTATGTTCACACCTATTTATATAAATCAAGATGTTCTTGTCATGCCCCAAGGACCAATCACTTGTTCAAAGTCCAAGGACGTTTAGCTTTCAAATCTCACATCTAAGCAGTGATATAAAGTTCAATTGAGGAAGGATCGAAGGGATAAAGATGGAAAGAAACTCTATACATGGTGTTAAATGACGCTACACGAAGGAAAGGGTGAAATGAATTTGTGCATTTTGCATTTTGATGATGGAGAGCTGTTACCTTCTTTACAATTCAGACGTAGGATTGAAAACTCCAAACATTCGAGTAAGTGTGATAAATTCGCCATGAAGTGTTTATCATTAAGGAACAACTAAGTTTATATCTCGGGTCAGTGGCGGATCCAGGATTTCAGATTAGGAGCACAAATATAGATAAGCATAATAAAAAAATATTCAACTTTAACTTAGTGTGTATCAATTTGCATCTTATATTTGAATAAGTGTAGTAATTTTCATCGCAAATTTTACAATTCCATAGATTTTCGCATTCATGAGGAAGAGGAAACTACTCGGCCACACCATTTTATTAATAATATTGTGTACTATATTAAATATATTTAAAAATGTAGGGGGCACGTGCCCCTGGTTCCAACGTGCATCCACCCCGGTTTGTGGTCTTTGATCATAAGGTGTTGAAAATGAGACAAAAGTTGTGTACATTGATTAGGGAAGTGAAAGATTCATGGTATATAAGTAAGGGACAAAATTTCCATTCATACGAGACTTTTTGGATGATTCAGAAAACAAAGCTGTGAGAAAAATATTTACCGATGATCCTTTGGAGTTGGTCTCAATTGTGTAAAAATTTAAGAGTTTTTGTAGGTTAAAATTATTGCTTTAATTACCACACAGGATTCTTATCCTCTTGCTTAAAACTCAATAGATATCACTCCTAATAAAGAGAATAATGGTGGGAGTTTATAAAACTTTGACTGGATAGAAAATTTTTACTAGTAAAAAAACTTTTTGACATTTTTCCCCCTCAATTCTAAGTACGTAACTTGGAGGAATTTTGGAAAATAAATGTGGTGGAGACAAGGTCCACCTCGGAACCTTACTTAACTATTATTCTTTCTATTACACTGTCACTATTTGAGTAAAACCACCGGGGTTCGATCTGTTTATATATTAATGATATTTTTATTGAGGATTATAATATAAAATTTCTTTTAAAATTGACAGCTGTGGGATTTGAACCCACGCCCTTTCGGACCAGAGCCTAAATCTGGCGCCTTAGACCACTCGGCCAAACTGTCAAGCTTTGATAATTATTGAAATTAATAGGAACTCAATTAAAATATTAATACGTATTTTATTCAATTATTAGATTTCGACCAATAAACTTTTATAGGTTAAATAACAAATTTAATTATTTACCTATGATTATGGTAGATATGTCAAAATAAAAAAAAAAAAAAAGAAAAAAAAACAAACTAACATATATGTTTTTGTCTATTTAATCTTTTTACTTTAAAAATTGTGTTATTGAATTTTGAATTGTAATTTTATATAGTCTTTGTTCAGGTCATTTAACTAAAGAATGATATAAAATGATTATTAGACAAATTTAATTTATTTAACACAATGTGACAGATAAATAACAAAAAAAAAGTAGAGAAATTAAAAAAGAAGAAGAAGAAGAAGAAGAAGAAGATGATTTCTTGGATGTTGATTAAAAGAGAGGCAGATGTATGTTGCATGTACTGCTTTATTCTGCTAAATCCTTTAATTTCCTTTCACCATCTATTTGCTACAACCTAATCAATATTTGATGTATGATGTGATACACAACGTGTAATCAAAAACTTAATTGAAACCGATTAAAGTTTAAAGAATAAATTGACATAGTAACAATTAATTCGTTTGACACATGTTACATTACTCACGTCATGACATTAAAACATATTTCAAAGTTAAATTATCCCGTTATTATACTGTTAAAATGCATATTTCTAAAAATAGATGGTAGAATAATAACAAAAATTAAAATACATATTGTTTAAAGTTTAAAAACCAAGATGCCATAACCTTCCCAAAAAAAAAAAGAACCAAAATGAGATTGAAAAAAACAAACAAAATCATGCACGAAATGGGGTCAAAGACAGAATAAAAATCTAAATACATTTTTTAGTCTGTCTATTTTTTCAATTTGGTTTTTAATTTTTTAATATTTTCCATATATTAATTTTTTCCAATTAAACCCTTGCAATAACTAAATATTCAAATAACAACAATATATAAATTTTTAAATAGTAATTTTTATGAATTTTCCAATAATTAGAATACCAACATTTTCAATCTCATGCTAAAATATTAAAACATGTTTAATAAACTCGATTTACGAAACTATAAATTATTTCTCAATTGTAACAGTAAACTAAAGCAAGTAAATAATTTAGGAGCATGTAATTTTAACCAATTCCTTTTTATTTTAAAGATACAATTTTCTATAACAAAGATCATATATAAAAACGTGACCCAACCCGAGTTGGATTCGTCGGATTGTCAGAATTTTTGAATACCCCTAGTTTAAAGAATTAACTAGTCTGAAGACCAACTCAATGCGACTTATTTTCACTATGTAAAGAGTTGGACAAAAAAGAGATCCAATATAAATTTCGGAGACGGAGAAAAAGTCTCCACCCTGTTGCATTAACAGGGAGCATTATAATATAAAAAATTGACAGCTGTGGAATTTAAACCCACGCCCTTTCGGACCAGAGCCTAAATTTGGCGCCTTAGACCACTCGGCCAAACTGTCAAGCTTTTATATATAAATAAAGTTTTTTTATTTTTTTTTATGAAAAATACATATAAATGAAATTGAAAAAAACACTAAACTAAAATATTGATAGTATAAAATTTTTCATATGGAGAACTAAGTCCACAAAGCTGTTTGGACAAAGATCCTGCGACCGCCATTTTGTCCTGGACAATTTGGAAGGATCGAAATCAGATAGTCCACGAAAAACAAATTCCGGATTTCTCAGAGAAGTGTGCTTGGATTACCTCTTATGCTGAGAAAGCTCGTTCGATCCCGACTTTTTCACATCTGAATCCTCTTCATCATCGTGGGTTGGATCGTTTTGGCGGACCTTGGAAGCCTCCTCCTCATGATTGGGTCCTCCTTAATGTCGATGCTGCTTGATGTGGGAGAAAGTCTAGAACGGGAATGGGAGCGATTCTAGGGATTCGAAGGGGAAAATCTTTGCAGTAAGTGCTTCTTCTAACTCCATCTCCTCTTCTAGCTGAAATTCAAGTCATCCTTGAGGGCCTTCGTTTTGCTCAGTCACTGGGTTTTCGAAGTATTCTGGTCCACTCCGATTCTCTTTGCACTGTTAACCTCATTCACAAGCGATCTCTCTCCCTAGGTCTAGAGGGTATTTGGATACATGCCATAAAAATGCTTACTTATGTTCTCAGAGATTTCACCGTCGAGCATGTCCCTCGGGAGTTTAATCGACCAATAGATTGGTTATCAAAGCATGGTCTCAACACCATGACCTATTGTTCTTGGCTTGATAATTTCCCCCAGTATCTATTTCGGGCTCGTTTGGTAGCATTCTTGTTTCTGTTTCTTTATTTTTAATGAAGAAAAATATATTGCATGGTTTCAACCTCCAAGAAGTCAAGTAGGATAAAACAATGTTTTTTTTTTTATTTTTTTATCTATGTTTTGGAACAAATTGGAAATGGGAACAAGAAAAGAAAAACTTGTTTTGATTGTTTCCAAAATTTCTATTCAATTGGTGAGAATATTCCCAAAAAATGAGAAACAATAAACAAAGTTAGTTGTAAAATATTTACCCATAAGGAAATGTTTTCTTCTGTAGCCCATGTGGCCACTTCTTATTAATGAAGCACTTTTATTCTATATATATATATATATATATATATATTTTATTAGATTTGGACCCATAAGTTTTTATATACTAAATAATAAATTTAATTATTTACCTATGATTCTTTTGTATTTGTCAAAATAACCAAAAAAAAAAAAGTGGAGAAAAGAAAAAACAACTGTTTTTTTCTCTTTAGTCTTTATACTTCCAAAATTATGTTATTGAATTTTGAATTATAATTTATGTAATCTTTGTTAATGATTATGAGACAAATTTAATTTATTTGACAGAGAATTGGACAAAAGAAAAAAAAAGATGATGATACAACCAATGTATCAAGGGACTTCTTATCCTTAACCAACATTTCTATGATAGATATGTCATGTTATGATGTAATGAACATGACAACATTTGATGTGATACATATATGAAATCATAATTATTCAAAATTCAAAAACTTAATTGAAATTGGTTAGAATTTAAAAAATAAATTGACATAATAACTATTCATTCATTTGATACACCTCATGAACCACGTCACGAACCACGTCACGACGTTAAAAAACATATTTCAGAGTTAAATCATCTAATTATTATTATATTGTTAAAATTCATATTTTTGAAAGTTTCTTATGAGATGGTAGAATAATTGCCAAAACAAATATAATTCAGTGGTAATTAGCACATATCTCCAATCAAGAGGTTGTGAGTTCGAAACCCACCATCACTTGATGTACTCAAAGATGGTATAATGATAACAAAAATTAAAATACATATGATTAAAAGTTTAAAAACCAAATGTCATAACGTTCAAATTTTGAACTAAAATGAGATTGAAAAAAGAAACCAAAATCATGCCAGAGATTGGGCCAAAAACGGAATAAAAGTCTAAATATATGTTTTTGTCCGAGTATTTTTTTTCATTTTAAAATTTTTAATTTGTTCTCGCATGTATTTATTTGTTTTTTCAATTAAGCCCATACAATAACTAAATATTAAAAGAATAACAATATATATGAATTTTAAAATAGTAATTTTTATGAATTTCCTAATCATTATAGAATCCCAACATTTGTTAAAGGATCTAATCCGGTGTTAAAATATCAAAACATGTTTGATAAACTCGATTTATGAAATTATAAATTATTTCTCAATTGATTAGTGAATTAAAACAAGTAAATGATTTAGGAGCATCTAATTTTAACAAATTACTTTCAATTTTAAAGATCAATTTTCTATAACAAAGAACAATTTCATATTCTCAATAGGCATATCTATCGTGTAAATATAAAACAATCTAAGTTGTAAGTTTTATAAGGTAGTAGTATGTCTTAAAAGTATTTGAACTTGGTGTATTTTTGTATCCAAATATTAATTTTTGGTGAAAATAAGAGCCTACTTAAAAAATAGTTAGAAAAAAAAAGACTCTTTTAGTATTTAGTCCTTAGAATTTTGAATTTAATTTTTTCCTAAATTTCAAAATATTACATTTTTACCTTTAAGGTTTCAGTTTAGTTTTAATTTAGTTTTTAAATTTTAAAATATTTCAGTTTTTTTTAGTATGTGGAGTGAAATATTACACTTTTACCTCCTAGGTTTTGAGTTTAGTTTTGATTTGGTCTCGAAGATTTTAAAATGTTGCACTTTAATTTTTTAGTCTTCTCAAATGCTTACTTTTAGTCTCTAACATAATTCAATTGGGAAGTTAAAGAGAGATTTTTTTTTTTTGCAATATTATATTCTAATTACTTCCCATAATCTTTTTCCATTTATAAATAAAAGAATCGTAGTAGGCTTTTAGTATTTATTTTCTTTTTTTTTTCTATAAGTTGATATTTCAATTTCTTCTATAATTTGAAGATATTCTAGACAGTTGTGATTTTTATCTCTTTCAAATCGTTCTGGTGAATGATCTACCTTTTAGAATAGTTTGCATTTTTAACCATAAATTATCGGTAACAAGTTGTATAAAAATAACTTTAACGTTATTCTTAAAAATATTTTGTAAATGAGATTGTTGCAAAATGGCATCCACATTTCAAAACGACAAAAAGCAGCAAAAATCTTTTACCAGTCCCAATGATTATGTTTTGGAGATGGACCAAGGGTTTTGATCTTCTTCTGTCTTCCATTTACTATATGGGCCTCCATTTTGGGCTTAATCTCCTTCCTTATTTTGAGGAAGATAGCTCAAATTTTAAAAAAAGCCCACTTAGAAAAATACTTGTACTTCGACGGCCCATTTGAGCCCATTAAAGTTATGGAGCCTCACAAAGTCTTTCTTTCTTTCCTTTTTTTTTTTTTGAGAGACACGAAGTTTTTCTGAAAGGGTCGTGACCATAAAAAATAACGCGTTTTGAAAAATAATGAAAAGTATACCTCATACTATGATAGTGGCTAACTAACCATTATCATAACATTCTCTATTTTATTCTAGACAAATATACCCCTGAAATAAAATCACAAACAACGGTATGATTTTATGAAATTTCTAAGCATAAAGTATGTTAAAGATTACATCATAGATATTTTCAAATAAACCTGAAAAATAAATATGTCACTAATTAAGTTCAAATAATTATGTAGTAAACTAGAGATTAAACTTGATCATTGAGAATTACAAGATAGTGTACAAAGTTATAACTAAAGTTCTTTTAAGAAATAATATTAACCAACCTAAACATAGCTCAAGTGATTAATTCAATATATCACAACTAAAAGGTCGTATGTTTGAAATCCGGGACATTTTAATTTAATTAAGATTAAGTACTTCATTTAAAGTTTTAATCTAAATTTATTAGATTCTATATTAAATTTCATCCATTTGATTATGTTTATTTTTAAACAGAATTATTGGATACTGTTTTTTTTTTAACATTTAATTGGTTTTCTTTTTCTGAATTTTCTTCATATTTATATTCAAAATCCAATAAATAAATTTAAATTTATTACAAACAAAAAGGTAAATTAATAAACGGTATCAAACACAAATATATTATATTTAGGAAAATAATGAAACTTTAGAAGTTTATTACTAATAAATTATAGCTACTATAAATAACTCTTGAAATGCCTTCATTTGTTAATTTAAATATTTATTTAATTTTATTTTCATTTTCACAATTTTATCAGTAATTTATCGATATTTCATAGAACTGAGACTTCTGACATTTTTATCGACACTGATATTTAAAACTTTAGGAAAAAACGAAGAGAAACGTTGTTTGGAAATTGACTTAACAATGACATAGTGACAAAAGAAGAGGTATGGCCATATAAAATTCGTCAATCTTTATTTTCTATTCACTTTTTAATTAATTCTTCTTCACTAGCCGCCCTAGTTGTGCCTTTCATATTGGCCCCATGTCGGCGAACTTCAATCCTCTCTTATGTTTCTTCTAATTCACATTTTTGTAAATATGATTTTTTTATGCTATACTTTTTAAGACATTTTTTTTGGGTTCGACATTTCTTTGTAATGTTAGTAGATCATTTGATCCATTAAAAAGCATCCCGTTTGGGTGAGCTTAAAAATGTATCTAAAATAGTAGGTGTTTTGTGTGATAAAATGTGATTATTTTCGTAAATAAAATTAAACAATTAAATAGCAAAGTTAATAATCAAGTTTAACCAATTCTAACCACAAGTTTTTGACAACAGAAATGTTTGTAAATATCTATAAAGATTTTGGTGGCAAATAGACTAAATGTAGAATTTTATCAAAATTGGCAAATTCAGGGTTTAAAGTGGAAGTTTTAAAACTTTATGGCCCAAATTAGAAACAAGTGTAAAATTTATAGACTGAAATTATATTACAGTATATATACTTTTTAAAACGAAAAGATATTCTATACGAGAAAATTTATTATATCTATTTTGCACAATACTAAGGTCAAAATATTATATCAAGAAATTTGTAATATTCATATGTTAATTAGGCAGTTCAATTATTGAATTTAATTATGATAGATCCATAAATGCAAGGCTACAAATTCAAAAGAAGACATGATCATGTGTGTATGATAAAAGCAAGCTCTCACACCATATAATAATTTGCATCTCAAATGTTCCTCCCTCTAATTTGATAGTGATAGTTGTCCAATCAGAGCAAAACAATTCAGCAAACAAAAATTAATTGGGACAAATAATATATTAAAGGTTTAACACTCATCAATTTAACAATTAAAAAAAACACTCAACAATGAAATCTTGAAAAAAAAAGCCAGTTAATTTTTCATCAATCATTTATTGAAAGAAAAAAGAAAAAGCTCGAGTTTGATACAAAGCGTTCAACATCTAATCTACTACTTATCGAATAAATATGAACTTATAGGAATTGTTTGATTCAAACTCTCAAACATTTAATTTTTTTCTCTCCATACATTTTCAAATTTTGGTCTCTACATATAAATTTTGGAATTTTCTTTTAAGGCTGTTTTTTCAATATTTATTCTTTGTGAATATATTCTCTTAATACTTTTTGTACTTTTTTTTTTCTTTTAAAGTGTTTGGAAATATTTGAGAATAATTGCTTTGAACAAAAATTCTTTAGTTATAAATACACAAGTAAAAAGTGCTTGGTAACAAATTATTTTGAGATTTAATATATTCTAACTTCTTAAAAGTGTTTTTGGATGCTTTATATTTGGGCTAAAAACATTCTATATCACGCGTTTTAAGTTTTGAGAAGTTTAGGTGATAAGTATTTTTAGTCAGCACTTTGAACTCCCAACAATATATAGGGCAAAGTGAAGAAGAAACACGTCCCTTCTTGGTTTGTTTAAGATCTTAAAAATTATATGAGAAGGTAAGTATTTTCAAAGTTTTCTTGTCTCTATAATTTCTATTTTCTAAACTTTTAAAATTTTAAATAGTTAGGACATAAAATTTTGTTTTGAACACATCATCTAAGTCTTTGGCATTAAAAATCTTTTATTAAGTGAGTATAAAATTAGAAATAGACTACATTTAGCAACATGAATTTGGTTCAGCGATAATTAACATCTGTCACTTACCAAGAAGTCATAAGTTTGAATTTTCCGATCATACTTTATTGTACTAAAAATATATTACAATTTTAAAGGACTTATGATAAATTTTTTATTGAAATTCATTCATTAATAATGGGGACAATCAATCAAACTAAACTAAAGCAACTCCAGGCAGAACTTGAAATTATAAGAGCATACAAAAAAACAAAACAAGAGAGAGAATATATAGTATAGTATAACCAAGTGGAAAAATGTAGAAACAGAAAAATATATAATTTACCCATAAATATCGATATGAACAAAAATTCGAGATTTAAATTTTATGGATATATCAATAGTAATATCGATAATATATCGATGTCGATGAATATTTATGAAAAAGTTATAAAATTAAAAGATTGATAAAAAATAATTTAAATAAACATTACAACATTATAAAATAAGTTTAGAATAATTAATATTAATATTATATCTAGATTAACGATGTGTTTTTATATATTTAATATTTTAATTATTTCTTAAAGTAATATATTGTTGATGTAAAAAATATAGACCTATAAAAATGTCCACAGGTCGACAGGTATTTAATAACATGGTTATATTAATACGGGCGTGTAGAAGCAGCTGAGTATTTTCTTTTACCAAATTATTTATCATATCATTCATTATATGGGAAAACAGAGAAAAAGAAAAAGCAATGTGAATCAGACGGCTATGAATAGCCGAATGGTGGGGCCCACAACATGGACCATGCACATGCACTCTTATTCTTGTTGTGGAAAAAAAAGCTCTCTCCTTAGTCCTTAGCTGGGAATCCAAACACCCCCCTTTTTCTCTCTCCTCTCATTCTCTCTCTCTTAAAAAGTCTTCAAAATTTCACACAGTTTCCATGCACCCATCCGCATCCGCATCCGCCTAACAATTCCATTTTCAAAACACAGAAAAAAATGCTTCCTCTCAAATCTCTCCTCTTTCTCAATCTCCTCCTCCTTATTTCCCCCTCCGCCACCGCCGCCGCCTCTGCCGCCGCCAGGTTCCTCGACGAGGCCCCCGCCGTCCCTTCCACCACCGGCGACCCAACCGTCAAGTGCGCCCCATGCGATCAGAACCCCCCATCTCCCCCGCCGCCGCCGATCTACCCCTCTCCTCCCCCGCCGTCTCCTCCGCCGCCGGACGTTCTGCCCTACTACTCTCCGCCGCCACCTAAGAAGCCCAAGAACAACGACAACTGCCCCCCGCCGCCGTATCCTCCGTCCTTCACCTACATAACCGGCCCCCCCGGCGACTTGTACCCAATCGACCAGGATTATAACGCCGCCGCCCGGACACTCACCTCCGCTGCCGCCGCCGCCGTGGTTGGGCTCGGTTTGGTTGGGCTTTTTGTGGTTTAAACGTGGGCCGGGGGTCTCGATTGAAATTCTCGTCAGGTAAACTAATCTCTACGAGATTTCTCTCTTGGGAATTTTTTTTTTTTGTTTCTAGAATTTAATTTTATGGATATGAATCTGATCATTTCCTCTCAAATAATTTTGTAATATTGTACTAATATTGAAAATTGTCCAGAAATTTGTGATAAGAAAAAGAAATTTTCTGATTTTGTTTTAGCATATAATTGGAAATTTATTTTTTCCCCTATTCAATTAAAATAAAAAAAATAATAGGTCAGCTATTTTGTGCGATCATACTTTTTTTTGTTTCTTTTCTTTTTCTAGATGTGAATGGATTCAATCGTAATCATCACTCAACCATATGTATATTAATTTAATTTAAAAAAAAACTAGCCTTTTATTGATTTAAAAATATTACCTGCACTATTTTTTTTCTTAAGTTGTATCTTTTTTTTTTTTGGTGATAGAGTGACGAATTTTTTTCATTCCAAATTTTACTGATCTTAGTCAATAATTAAAAAAAAAGTCAACGCGAACCTAATTTAAGTGATTAGATGTCTATGTTTATTTAATGAGATTTCTCGTCTATTACAGAATAATAGGAAAACAAAACTTGATAACGAAATATGCTACAAAGGAAAATATATAATTATTTTTTTTTTCGGAAAATGATAAAATTAATCTTGGATTATCTAAAAAACCAATTAACAGATATGAGTCCATAAATTGATTTGTCATCTGGGTCCCTCGGTTGTTAAAATGGGACTTGTCATCGCCAACAAAATAAATATTCAGAACGGTGTTGTTTTCTCGAAAGGAAAAATCATCTTCCAATTAAGCATAAATATTAATAACTCAATGGGATTAAGTAAATTCAAACTTTAAATTAATTCAACTTTACCAATTTAACTATCACTCCTACATCAATTAAGTTTGACTATATAAAAGTGATAATTTAGTAAATGAAAGCACGACAACTTAAATAAAAACGTGTCTAAAATAAATAAATCACGTGTTTTCTTCGTCAAATTAACTAATTGATTAATTTATAGATTAAAGGTTGTTTTTGTAATAAAAATTTTGAGAATTAACAAAAACATTTCAAAGTGAAGAATAAAAGTAAAACGGTGGTTGGAGGAATAAGGAATGGAACTAAAAAGAAATAATGTATAAAAAGATAGAGATGAGGTAGCACCGGCCAAAACGAGTGAAGGGTAAAAGGGTAAATTCGATTAGTGGGTCAAATGATTCTGGTAGTAACACGCGTCCCGGTTCAGTTTCCGAGGCTAGGAGTTGCGTATCGTACTTTCAAAGGAACCGGATCCCGAGCCATTGGATCGCGTGTCAGAGAGTTTGGAGCGCCGATTGGATCACGTGGCGGCTTAGTTCTGCACTCCTAGGATGATCATCTTCGGTTTCACCAAAGTGCGGCCCCACCGGATTTCTCCCCTCTTCCTAATTTTTTTTTTCCTATTTCTTACATGACACGTCATTATCCAAATGTCTCTTCATCTTTCTCCTCCTTCACCTTTACTCAAAAGTGACCTTTTTTTCGTTTTTCTTTTTTGTTTAATTGTCTCTTTTCTTCCTATGCATTGAAAAATGTTACCGATCTAGTATTTATTTCTTCCCTAAATACATCATACATTAATAATAAATTAATATAGTCAAAATAAACACCAGTAGTTGATATTTAATTCTAATCAAGAGGTTCGAGAATCTTCCACCCCCACCTGTGGACTAGAAAAAATAAATTAATATATTATTTTACCATATCAATCTTATATTATTATTAATATAAAATTTCATACTTCTGTCGCAATGTTCTTTTAATCTTCTTCCTTGACAATCTATTTTATACTTGTAAAGAAAAATTTCAAGATAACGCAATCTTACCGTATGTTATCTTGATGAGGTCATTTTCAACTTTAAGAATCGAAATGTCAAATTTAATTTTTTAGAATTTATTATCAATGACATAACTCAAAGAATCGAAATGTCAAATTTAATTTTTTAGAATTTATTATCAATGACATAACTCAATGATAATGATATTCCAAGTGGCCATGAATATACCTAAATTTATATTGTCCTTGATAGCAAACTTACCTATCTCCTCCAAAATTTCGTAGTAGAATCCAAAATTAAAATTACGCATACAATTGTATATAATTATTTCTTTCAACATCAAAAACTAATTGTCAAGCGCTAAAAGATTCTCCCGCATACTATAAATCTATCAACATGAAGCACTATTTTATTTTCCAAGTAAAATTAATAGAAAAATGAATTCGTATTCAGAATAAAAATAGTATTTAGATTTATTCATCTCTTTTCTTTTTCCTCATACCCTAATCATACACCTCACTCTCCATATCCTACAAATAACATCACTAGAAGCATCATTCATTCAGTTTTAGGAGTTGAATAAGTCCTCATTCAACTACCAATTCAGAAAAGAAATAAACCTACCCTCATCATCCTCGTGAGCGACTAAGCTAAAGTGTTATTTTTCTACGAGACTTTTAATTGACAAACGGCATAATTATTGCCAAATTAGCATATAGTATGTCTTGGATTACCAATAATATATCTTGAAAAATATTTATAAATAATGACATGAATTTAGCTCAGCAGTAATTGATATCTATCTCGAAATAAAAATCACGAGAAGTACTAAAAAAAATAATACTCTAATATTAAAGACAAATTATATATTTCGGTTGGAGGAAGGAGGGAGAAGGATAAGATTTTGAAGGTGTTGATGCCATTAAAGATAAGTTCAAAGGGAAAATGATGACATCTATTAATTTCAACAACTTGGACTTGGGGTATTGTATTTGGTGGTTGCAAGGAACTTCCCCTCTTACACCAAATTTAAGAAACAGCCAAACATCGACCAAAAGAAAAACTAAACTAATTTGGGTTGAAATTTTGGTACAATTACTTCATAATTTCTTCACATTTGTCATGGAATCTTTTTTTTTTTATTGACGCGATAATATGACGTAGACAAAAATGATTTTGTGTGTGAACTCTTTTAATTTCATGATCATATTAAAAAGTCGTATGTTTAATGAGCGTTTATTTTATTTTAATGACGGTTTAAATGAGGTGACTTCATCTATAAAGTATTAACGATGTTTTGGGGTTATTTTTCGTTTTGGATATAATTCATACAATTTGTGGAGATCTATTTTCTCACAGTGTAATTATTTAAGGCCTGTTTAATAACGTTTTTGTGTTCAAAACAATTTTCTTTAATTTGTTCTCTAATCTACTTCTACGAATATTTATATTCCATTTCTCTTAATTTCATTTGTGATAAAAAGTAGAAATTTCTTGCATCAACCAGGAGTTGATATGGAAGAGTATGATTGTAAAAGTGTGTAAGAAAATTCTTTTAGGAAATGTATACTTAGAGCGTGCCTATTATTTTTTAACTTTAAGTTTGAATTATATCTTTGATTTTCTATTTTGATTTGAATAAGTTCCAAACTTTAATATCGTTAATTTAATATTGACACGACACATTGATTAAATAACAAATGACGATTTGACACTTTACGGTATAAGAAAATCACCTAATTATATGGACAAATTTGATGATCAGTGGTTGTAATCATGTTTTACATTAGACTTTATGGTTCACATGCTGTCAATAATTCACTTACTCTTTGCATGACATGTAAAATCATTACTGACTGTCATGCCAATGTTTAAACAACTGGGTTAGCAACATTAATTACCACATTAATTCATTATAATCAAGAATTAAAAATTTAGAGATAATAATTTTAAAATTTTAAAATTTAAGGACTAAATAGATGGAACAATGTACAACATTTATAATTTAACATACATTTAGATGGACAAATTTGTTTCGCTAACATTTTGTATGATTCTATCTTTATTATAATTAAAGTCTATACCATTAAATTGGTGACAATAAATCATCAAACTTGAATTGTAAATTTGTGTTGAAAATGAATTGTTTGTTAATAAAAAAAATAATAATAAAAAGGAGAATATTTTCACCTTTTATAAAAGGTAAGTAAAAATGACCAAGAAAAGAGAGAATATTTTCATCTTTCATAAAGAGAAACATCCTATCCGTGGAGGGTATAATTTTATTTATTTATTTATATATTGGATTCTCCCCAATGAAATCGTATTAAAAAGTATTACATTACATTTATAATATTTACTTTTGAAATTTATAAAACTGAAAGAATAAGTTACAAATATCTGACTTGATCATATTTAACAAACCACAATATATGTTGTTTTAATAAAATATTAAAATACTGATATATTTAAAATGCATAATTTTATTATGTCATTAAATAATAATTTTGTATATATAATATACACACACAAGATTATTATTTAATGGGAGAATTTTTGACATTCATTTATAACTTTATTGGGAAGACTCTGTTGACTCGAAAATTGGGCACAACTAATTCATGATTTCTTCTTGCCTCAAGAAAAAGAAAAAAATAAATAATTTCTTCACATATCAAAAAATAAATAATTTCATCACATAGGTTAGATTCAGACATACCTAAAGAAATTATTTATTTTTTCTTTACGCAAAATATCAGATCTTATATTTGAAAAGTGGAAAAAAGAAAGCTATCTTTATTTTATATTTTTTATATTAAAACACAACCCATATTTTAGTTACAAAATCTATATCCAATTTTTATAAAAGGATTAATCTTTTGTTTTTCAATTTTAAACTTCAGCTGAAATTTTAAAAATATTTTAAAACGGTAAATTAGAAGACAAAGAACATTATTACTATTTCTAGAAATAAAATGCTCATCATAACCGATCTTAAATTGACTACAATTGAATATGATTCATAATTAAACATTTTTACAAAAAGGAAAAAGAATATTACCTTTACAAAAGGTAAATAAAAATGTAAAAGATTTTTTTATTTTTTCTTTTTCTTTTTATCTTTTATAAATAGAAAAGCCATATTTTATATATTTTTTCTATTAATGCACAAACCCATATTTTAATTTACAAAATTTCTAGCCAAATTTTATAAAAAGATTAAACTTTTTGTTTAATTTTTAAAATCCAGCTAAAATTTTAAGAGTATTTTCAAACAATAGATTAGAAGAGAAAAAAAATTGCTACTATTTCATGAAATAAAATGCTCATCAAACTAATCTTAAATTAACATAAAAAG